TAAAGATATAAGTTTAATCTATGTTATCTTTTCTTGATTATTTTCTCAAAAATTAGTTGTAAATACTTTTAAGAATTAATTTACATCATTAAAAAGACATGAATCTTTTTCCATCAAAGCTTCAAAGCAAAAGAGAGAATTCTTAGAAAAAAATACATTTATGAATCCAATTTGAATAAATCCATCAAGGTATTGACAAGGATGCAACCTTAGATAAAGCTTTACTTTTGTAGAAATCTTCAAAATTTTAATCTTGTTCCATCAAACTCTTCAAGCATATTTATCTTTACTTCTCTTATACTTATGATAGCAAGACTACTTGAATTTAGTTGTAAACTTAATTTATTAGTCTCTTTCAATTGCACAACTTTTTGGTATAGACCTCTTCGATAAGTGTCAACATACTACTTCTATAGTTGATATTAGACATATATGAGATTTCTACCCTCAGAGTGTTAATAAGCTTGTGAAGATTTACAATAGTTACAAATCTATTTTCACTTCAAAAAGAGTAGCATCCATAATTTTTCATTCTATAGATAATTCAACCAAATCTAAAAGTAAAATTAAAAAAGAGTAATCTACAACCTCTAATAATAAATGAAAGTTTCCATAAATAAAGATAGTATACTTTCTTTTTAAAAAAAAACAATGAATGTTAAAAAGCTAAAAATATATTTAAAGGTATGTAATCTACAACCTTCAAAAGACAACAATAGAAGTGGAATAATTCACTCACTTCTAACACAAAATAAGGACAATAAATTAGTACTTTTTTCAAATTAGTGAGGATAGAAATTTCAAAAAAAAAATCTCAATACACTCTTATGTTACTCATTAAGATTAAAAAATCACTCAAAGATGGTAACACATTGAATTAGAATGGCTATTGCTAAAGACAAAAAGACTAGAAAGTATTGAAAGAAGAGTAAAGACTAAAAAGACATTGACAAGAGTGAAAAAGGCTTTAGTCTTGCCTCTATATATACTATCCAACTAAGAGTTATGTGGTGACATTCTATAAGACATCCAACATGTATCCAATTTATGAGACACGTAACTTATCTTGCAAGGCAAATTTCTTATATGAATGCCATATCATTAGCTTTTACCTAAAGTTACCTATTCGTATAATACATGGCTAATTTATTGGCCAAATTTCTAACCTATCAAATAATTATAAATATGTATCAAGTCAAATATGCATCAATAAAGCTTTTAAATAGCTTTACTATAAGATAATATCAAATCTATATATATTTATTCTCTACCTAGTATTTCTTATTTAAATATATATATATATATATATATATATATATATATATATGATACCTCTAGAAATTTAATGTATTTTTTTAGATAAAGTGTCATATCTTTTATGCTCAATTTTGACATGCTGAATTTAAATAAAAATTATTATTTAAACTAATTTACTTATTTTTGATAATTTTCTATTAATAAGCTTTAATAGAATTGATATTAAATTTTGTGCCATAGAATAAATAATTAAGAGGCATACCTTGATTTATACAAGTAAGAATGTAGTTGATAAGTTGTACAGGATTGTGGGCCACTTTAATCTATAAAAATAAAAGTTCATTTCTACTCATAAGCATATTTCTAACTTTATCTAATATAGTTACTTTTTTTTATTTTAAAACTCCATTTTTTTGAAGTATGTAAGCTATTGAAAATTGTCAAATAATCTTGTATTCTTGTAAGTACTAAAAAAAATCCTATAAAATGAATTTGCCTCCTTGAATAGATTGAAGCAAAAGAATGTGCTTGAAGATTTGTTTTTTTAACCATCTTGTAGAATCTCTTGAATATATCAAGAGATTGATCTTAAGAAATTTTAAAATAGATCCAAGATTTTGTAGAGAAGTCATTTGTAAACAAGATAAAATAGCATAAGTGAACCAATGATTTAACTGAAAAGAGTTCACATACATTTGTGTGGATTAGTTCTAAGAATTTTGTAGTTCTATTTTGGGCTTATTTATAAGTTTGATGTTTGGTTTTTTTCCTTGATAGCAATGACTATGTGTTCAAGTTTATGTAAGAAGAAAAGAGGTCCTAATACTAAATGGTGTGTTTCTAAATATTTAAGGCTTTTATAGTTTAGATGATCTAAACATAAATGCCAAAGATAGGTAAGAGAGTCTATAGTCTTACTAGAAGTTTCTAAACTTAAAAATTATATATCTTTCATAGCTAATACTATTAAAATATTATTAGTATTAAAGTTATAAATAGATAGATATTCTAATTTATATAGTCTATTGCCAAAATTACAACCTTTACCTATAATTTTAGTAAAAAATATAACAAAATATTTTTTAGATCTAAAAATATAGATGTTACTAATATCTATAATTTTCCAACAAATAGGATGTTTCTTCTTAGGCTAAAAACATAGCAAAATTCTTTGAGAGTTTTTATTTCTCTAATAAGCATAAATAGATTTATTGACCCTTGACCTATAATTATATGAACATGATTCTTAGCTGATGTGATTATGTAGCTATGAAAGTGGTCTACTTGATTAAATATAGAATAGTTACCAATGAAATACTTTGAAGCACCAAAATCTACAATCCATTTGCTATTGACCTTGTCTTCAAGTGCTATAAGTTTAAAGATTTCTAATGTAGCTTCATTACTTGGTAGGTCAATTTGAAATAGAACTTTGTAACTTTTTTTGCAAATTTAACTCTATAATTGTTGTGTATTGGTAGTATGGAGGAAAAATCACTTGAATAGCCAATAATTGGATGATGGTTGATATAGCTCTCATAAAGGATCATATTGGTGGATACACAATGTATATTCAAAGTTTATTCTTCTTTTTGGCATTGCCAAAAGATGTGAGGACCTTATGGAGGAGCTTGATCATAGTGACGAGGAGCTTGAAGGCCATATATTGGGCCTTGATTTTAACCTTGTTGTTGTGAAGGCCTCCTATGAAGTCGGTTGTGATAGATGTTTTGAATCTTCATAAGAAGAACCTCATCAATTGATTCTTGAGATTTCTTGAGTATTTCATTAGTTTCTTCCATGTGAGGTTAATTCCATAGCTCTTCCAATGATGGTAAGTCTTTTTATTTTCTATGTATCTGACAAGTTTTTCAAAATATTTTAATACATGATTTAAGATTCTATGAACTATGACTTCTAAAGGTTGATTTAGATTTACAACTTTTAGATCTCTAATGACATCATTTACATGTTGCATAAAAGCAGTAATATCATGGTATTCACTCATTTGTAGGTGTTCTCAATAATTAAGTACAACCATAGTGTTAAATATTATATTGGTAAGAAACATCTTTTTGAGATAATTCCAAAAAACTTGCAAATCTTAGATGTTGATGATAGTGTGGCTTAAGTCAAAAACAAGGGAGAATTGAAGAAAATGTTTTGTGCAACGCTTGCATTTGTGGTCAACATCAAAGATTCATAATGTAGCAATGACATCCTTGACTGCCATTCCTTTTTCTTTCTTATCTTGTTTTGGAGTAGAGTTGATTTTAGATTAAATAAGGTTCCATAGGTCTTCTTTTTTAAAGATGTTCTACTTTGTCATAGCCCAATGTTTGTAGTTTTTGAGTCTTGTTAGTATTGTCTCTTTAGAGCAAATACTTTTGTGGATACTCATGATTCTTATTGTTTGTAGGTGTTGTGAATCCTACAAGAAGAGATAGTGGAATAGAAGGGAAGAAGAAAGTTGAAGACATTGGAGTTGAAAAGAAAATAAACCTAAAAAATACTATTGTATCATTAGAATACTTAGTTCTGCAAAAGAAAGAACAATAAAAAAGTGTCTATTGATGCTAAAGTTTTATCATAAAAATAATAAGATGAATTAACTTGAATAACACACTTTTACAATATTAGTTTTTTAGCAAAATAAAATATAAGAAGGAGAAATGAAAGAAAGATTAAAAAAAAAACAAAAAAAAAAAAAAAATGACTTGAATTAGTGATAAAATAACTTGAACCAAAACACCCAAGTTCTGTGAGAAAGATTGCTCTGATACCATGAGGATTAAACACAAGAAACAAAAAAAACTAAATAAAACAAGTAACATGAGATAGTAGAAAAAACAAGAATATAAATATATATATATATATATATTCAACATAGAACCCACTGTGATATCACAGGGTATATATACTTGGGTTGAGATCCGGACTTACCGGATCTCAGCATCAACTTGTGACGTGGACCAATAGTGCTATTTGCTAATTGGATGAATGAAAAGATAAGATGTGGATTGATCATTGTTCCATCACATGGGAGATCATGAGTTGTTCGCTTGTCCAGGTTGGTCCTGAAAAATCTATGTGTTGAGTTTACCGCTTTGTGGGTCAATGATATTTTACTTCTATATCTGGCTGCCCACGTTGTTGAGTCTATTGTGCGAGTTAGAACTCCGAGGCTCGTTTTTAGTTTCTGTGAAGATTGTGAGAGCGCCGCAGGTGGCCGCACTGAGACGCATCATGGCCACTATCTATATGAGGACAGCTTCAGCCATCATAATCAGAACTGTCATGTCACTTGCTCCAAATATCTTCTCACCGATTAAAAGTTGGTGTCAAGGGCACGGATGTCCGCAGAAACTGCATCGGTGTGAGAAAGACTGGGAATGAAAAGTTTAATGAAACTGTAAAAAAAGCAGTCATATCTAAATTACCTATGTCGGTTGATTTTCACATCGCTGCTTATGCCCAATCCTATCGCGTTTGGAAGATCTCAGTGATCAGCTGCCAGATTAAGACATATCTATGAAGAAGAACACATCTAGTGCGGCAACAAGAGTGGGCCCCACAGCAAAGAATGAGTAAAACCCAGCGGGAAGTTGGCTTGGTAAAGATGGAATTTACCCATTCGATGTTGTGATTATTTGCAACAGGCGGCGATGCACCAATGTCAACTAATCTCATACCGCAAAATCATCTCGAGCGACCCGCCGACTTCGGTGCTCCCAGTTGCGGAGTCGACACGACGGAGCCGAAATGCTAGACGATAAGGTTTTGACTAGATTATCGAATGGGCGAGGGTTGTTGAAGAATATTACATCGACTGATTCAGGAGAGTGCAACATAATCCTGTGTTTGTCAGCATCGTGAACAAAGCATTTTCAACTTGTTGACTTCCGTGGAGCGGCACTGAAAGTCAGTACCCCACAGTTGTACAATATTGTACAACGTTGTACAATAAGCATCGGAGTGCTAAGATCGAACAGTTATAAGCTGGCAGTTCGTGGGCTTTGAAACTAACTCTGTGATCCCAGATGCGTTAGACCTTTACTTGGCACTTGCATTGTATCGCTTATGTACTGAGCTTTGAACATTGAAGGAGTCAGAATGGATCGGCCTGGAGGGCTTGGACTTTGGGGCCACTTCACTACAATAGCGCTGCTCCTAATATGCACCGTCGGTGGCGGGAGCTTGGCGGCGACCTGCTCAGTCCGAGATAGGGATTCTCTTCTCGCCTTCAAGAACCAAATGACCGATGCAGATGGTGTTTTAGCGTCATGGAAGAAAACCACAGATTGCTGCACTTGGCAGGTGGCAGAACAATTCTAAACCTTGAAACTTTACATCTTTGCCTCATCCATCTCGTTTGCAACAACGGTTATATCGTAGAAGTTCAGTGTTGCGCCACATCGAGCAATTAGAATTGTTGGTAATGGATTAGCCTGTGTTTTTTTTCTCTTTGTTCGGTCCTAATGCGAGACCTTGCGTAGTTGATGTATAATCGAATTCCAACTCTAAAACCTTGAAATGGGATGTGTTGCACTCAGGGTATCACTTGTGACGCGAATGCAAGGGTGACTGGAATTACGATTGAGGCGAGCTGCCCAACATGTGGAGGGGGCCAGAAGTTGATAGCCAAGCCCCTGAACTTCGGGGGGCCTCTTGGCAATCTGAAGTCTATATTGAAGCAATTGAGCCTTATCAACGTTCAAGTCCAATTCAAAATTCCAATCCCGCCAGTGTTCTTCACCTTAGGAAAACTAGACTTCCTTCAGCTAGAAGGATGCGGGTTCATTGGATCCCTCCCAAATGAACTCGGCAACCTTCGCTTGCTGCAAGAACTCAAAATTAGCGGCAATAGATTATCAGGTGGTGTGCCCAACACTATTTCGAACCTTAAGGAATTACGGATTCTGCAACTTGGAAGCAACCAGCTCACAACGCTCGGGTCCTGGAAACTTACCTTGTTGCAGAAACTTGACCGAGTAGATTTCTCCCGTAACAAGATTACCGGTTCCATACCCAAGTGGCTGGGAGGCCTAACCCTAGCAGGCCCTTTCTTCAACGAGCTTCTTCTCAGCTTCAACCAATTTTCTGGCACCATTCCTGCCGAGCTATGCAACATAAGAGGAATGCGGTACCTCGCACTCCGAGGCAATAAGCTCAGCGGGCGAATTCCTGCGGGCATTGGCAAGTGCACATCGCTCATGTATCTAATTCTGGGCCAGAACTCGCTGTCTGGTCCACTACCACGTGAGTTAGGCAAGCTGAAGAACTTGGTAGAGTTGACTGCTGACAAAAACAAGCTTTCTGGCCCCCTTCCTCGCGAACTTGGTGACCTTCCGGAACTCACTTTCGTCAAATTGCAGAACAATAAGATTACAGGAGGCATCCCATCAAATTATGGCCCATTTGATCCTCTTGTATCCGATCCCATCGATCTTACCAACAACATGCTTAAAGGTAAGCCGATCTTCTCCGCCTCTTCCACTTCAAGGTCTGATTCCGCGGCTCACAGTATCAGTTGCTGGAACTTGAATGGGAATTAAAATGTGGTGCATTTTTTTGGTTCGCCAACCATCACTTAATCACTTCTCACTTTTCTACTCTCTTTGATCGCAGGTCCGATTCCAAAGGCTATGCAGAGCCTCAGTGCGAACGCTTTCCGCCCAGGCAATCCTGGTCTATGCGGTCCTCCACTTTCCAACCCCTGCTAACAATCTCATAAGTCCAATCAATTGTTGGAAGATTGAAACTTTTGAGACTCATCGGGAAGTTTGCATGAAAGTGCATGTTTGTAAGGATAGATCCGAATAAAGATGAGTTATTTCTGCACACGTTATAATTGTTGCGTATTCAGCGTTGTCCTTGCAACAAACTAAATTGTATGATCACCCTGCTATTGGAAAATGAGACCGATCATGCTGTGGTTCGTCTGACTAAATGTACAGCGGACTGTATCTGTTAAGCCACCATTCAAAATCGCACGATCAAGTCTAGCAAACAGCGTCACGGAAGATGCATTATGTGGATCGTTTGCGATGGTGTTGAAAGACTCTCGGAATATAGCAGGGTGTGTGGAGTTAAGCAATATTACATTCCTGGAAAGATTTCCCCAGGCAGGAGCTGATTTGTGATGCTCTCTCGAACAGTAATGCCCACACAGAAATTGATCTTGGAGTGAATGTCTTTCAAGCCAAAACTTCTCTTGCGCTGTCACTACTGGCCGGTTGCATACTATTTTTGCAAAAAAAGGCGAGCTTCTCAGAACTATTCTCATTTTTGCGGCTTCGCTTCCTCTCCCTCTCATCGTCCAATTCAATCTTTTTCGTAATGAGCGTGTTACATGCTTGAGGTCTCTTCTCCCCTCTTCGGTCACAAAGTCTTTCATGCAGACAATCCAACCTTCTCCAACATCATCAATCCTTAGCGTTGTAACAGACTCCAACGCAATTTTCTCTGAATGCCTCTAAAAAACCTCAGAAGCTGGCGATTAGACGGTGGTCCTAAGAAATAGAATACGCAATAAAGGAGCAATGAATAAGCAGGCTGCCGGCAAGGTCTGTGAAGGTGGACAACTTAAGTTTAGAAGGACGATTCAAAGATTTGTCTGTGACACCTTAATTTTGAAGTCAGAAACATCTTGTGCAACTGCAAGTGCCAAGCAAGTATCAAGCTGTCTACGACTTCTCACACTCACTGCCTTATCTTCACTACATGTCAAGAGAATGAAGAGAGTTTTCATTTTCCGTCTCCGCTCTCCTACACGACAAACCAGATCACCGAGTTGCTCCTTTCTGTAAATCTTACTAGAAGTCCTCTGCCAATTTCAGGGGCAGTAACATAGCCTTTGATTAGAGAATTCTTCATATATTTCTCGCGTCTGTGTAGTCGGATAAAGATCTCCCAACTTTACTGTCTCTGATACACCTTACCAGAGTGGCATTGAACTTCTGAAGTTTAACCCAAAGTCTTCATAACCAAAAACTGAGAAGATGAAGATAAGGGATCAGCACTGCAAGGGAGTACAGTGAATTCAGTGGGAGGAATATGCAATTTGTAGCATGCCGTGTCGACTACTTGTACATATGAAAAAGCTCTCTCCTCACAAGATTCACAAAAAAACAAGAGTTTCTACATCAATTCGTATATACTGCATCTGAGTCTGCATGTTGCAAAATCTACAGGCAGGAATAACTTACCGTATCCTACTTCGTGAAGAACGACAAAGTACATAAGCTGTGCGAAAAACTTCATGCTTGCTTGTGTGTTCGTGGTAGCCACCTAGACACCGTCAATATCCTGAGCCACGCTTGACGACCTTCGCCTACAATGTCTAATACCACCAGAGCGTGTGGCAAGTGTTTGGTTTCGTACAATTGCTACATTTTTTATGACAATCATGAGCCATTCTGTACACAGACGTCAGAAGACCTAAATTTCTATGAGTTAGTTGTATACGAGTTTTCAAAAGGGAGCACTGTGCGAGCTTTGGCCTCCAAGCATGCCGCAACCGATTCCAAGTTCCGCAACCAAGCGAACTCGCCTCTGGCAATGGCACTGCGTAGGAGATTCACAGCTTCTTTGCAAGAATCGTCACATCTGGACAATTCTTTGTCAATCTCTTTCAATTCCTGCTTTAAATCCTGGATCTCAGCAACCGTGTGCATATTCGATAAGAAATACTTCAAATTCGAGGCAGCTCGCAGGAACTGGTCACGTTTATCTTGTACCAATCCTTCTTCTGAGTGACAAAGTAGATTGTCGAGGAGATCCTGCACATGTAGACATTTTTACACATTAGTCCGGAAGACATCCTGAAGGATACATCTTTACTAAAAATCAGCAAAGTAGTGAAAACATGTTCATATTCTCGACGAGCACAGGAAGAAATTCGAGCACGGATCCGTCACCTCTAAAAACTCAATGTCCCTCTCCGACGGCATTGAGTATAGGCGATTTTCAGCATCATCTATCCAAGACTGAATTGCTTTCACTTCACGCTCCGCCGCCTCAGTTTTCTTCAACATACTCTCAAGGTTCCGGCGAACCCTATCTTCACGAAACCGCGTTTCGTTGGTTTGTGCAGATGACATGAAACTTTCAAGAAAATTTTCCATGCAGAGACCGAGCTCTCCGTGGCTATCTCTATGTGAAAGAAGATAAGGGGTGAGAGCTTGTGTAACAGCAGCTACCGCAAGTTCCCTTTTGGTATTTGTTTTCTTGATTAAAGGTTGGGAGAGGGCTCTTGAAAGACGGAACTCCCTAGACTGGCCTACGTAACCACCTGCCTGTGATGAAACATACTGGCTGGCTTTTAAATTCCAACTTCCCTGCGATCAATAATTCATTCTGGTGCGTTTAATCCTGTAAAATCTTGGCTCCGACACTTTCTGAAAAACTAAATCAGAAGGTATTTCATTTCAAACAATGGAATGCTACGGAAATGAAGCAGTTTGACAATGATAAGAGTTCCACGCAAGTTGAAGGAAATCCAGAAACTTATTGCAGATCCTTAATCATGAAAATATCAGCCTATCAGTATGCGAGAGTTGTACAGAGAGGACAAGGAAGGAAAAAGGATTGAAGTGCCCAAGGAACATAAGGTACCAATTCTCTCACCTTTAGATGATACAATGCATCCGATTGATCAAAGAGTTGATCCTCTCTAGCAACACCATCCTGAGTTGGAATTGATATGTCTCGGATCTTAGCTTCGCTGATGGCCTTAGCAGAACTCCAAGACTGAATTTTTTTCCATGCTGCTAACACTCTGCTTGAGCCCCCTCGATGGATCGTCTGTTCACATGGTGATTTGCAGACCTTGCTGTCAGCCGTGCTCATGTATCCCTGTGCATCGCCATACACTTCAAAGTAGGACCATGAGGGCGACGAAGAGTAAATTTTCCATTCGCTGGAACGAGAATCCTTTTCCATGCGAAAACAGCACTTGATGGACGATAAGGAAAAGATAGAACGCATTTGTCTAGCAACAGGGGAAGGAAGGCGATTGGGCATTTGACAGCAACTGGAGAAACGTTGGTGAGTGATTCGATCCATTGAGCTGATCCCCTGCTTTGACAAGGAACCTACTGCTGGCATATTGTATTGCACTTCACAATGACGGAATTTCTTATGCTCCGCTGATCTTCCGCACCCGCTCGAATGGAAATTATCTATTCGGTGGCAGATGAGAGAACATCTCGACTGAATTATGAATTGCATTCATCATCTGAATCCCGAATGTAAGTTTCATGCCATACTTTGAAGAGATAGGATGAAAGAAAGCGACAGAAGAAAATATCTACCAGACTGCAACCTTTGCAGCGTTCTCTCACAAACAGCTTCGCAGGAACACAAAGCTTCGCTTGCAAAAAGAAACGTCACGCCACTGAAGCACCTTGGCAGGAGAGAGCGAGAGAGAGACGAAAGCACGTTCTAGAAGGGTAACACGGGGTATATCAAAATTGATTAAATACTCAAGCCTTGAATAGAGTCCACTGCTAGAAAAGAACGAAAAGAATCGGACGTGGTAAACATTTGCATAACCAGAAAGTGATTAAATTCTGGTAGGCATATTAGGTTCTACCAGAGTACCACAAGCGTGACTGAGTCGCTTCGTCGAGCTTGCAATCCATTCAAATCTTCAAAACCGAGAGTAGATGAGGGAAACTATGAAATGGAGGAAACCGTCGAATGCAATTCTACGCAGCGTAGGCGCGCTGAACCAAACCGCACGTGAGGAATTTATTTCAAAGAGCTCTCAATTTCTCCAATAACCTCTGAATGTCGCTAAATCTATCCTTAGAAAGCACCGTACCAGGACCAAAACCGCATACACAACCCCAAACAAGCACAGCAGCGTCAACCGCGCTGCCGGGATCAAGCCAACAAGCGCAAATCACGTCAAAACGCCTGAACCAAATCCCACGTTCGCCTAAGCTCAGCCAACACCTGACAACTTCACCCTCAATTCCTGTAATTGAAGCATCGAGACCAAATCCCTTAAGAGAGAAACTTAGCCACATCCAACCCTCTCACAGCATCCATTCACGGGCACAAACCTAGCGCAAAAAGCGAGCTAGAATCAATTTCCCAACACGCTAAAGAGGAGATCTCGTAGCTCCTCTATCCAAAAGGCTCCTTCACCTCGCCAATAGCGAAGCGAGAGGTGTCTGCAGCAGACGAAACGGGAGCTCAGGGCAGACGAATGCGTGACAATGGTGCGCCATGTATGCGCGCAGCTCAGTAGTGGTTGAAAAACTCGTGGATGACGTGGATCCTGCGGCAGTTGAAGCCGTTGGCGTCGGAGACCGGAGGAACTTTACAGGCGGTTGGCTAAATCTCAACACAGACAGACCAACCACAAGGGCTCTGCTAAGCGTCTTCTTCCTCTACCTCCACGTCCTTCCTATGTGTAGGATTTCCGCCATAGCCATGGCGAGTCCTTTGCTTCCTCCGCTCTGCTCACCTTCGATGCCTATCGACGATGACAACGTCGTCCGAAACTTCATCAATTAGGATACCGTCTTCTCTACATTCATCCAGTTCGGATGGATGACCATTGTTGAGGGTATTGAAATTCCTGCTTTGTACATCTTTTTTGCACCACCTTCTTTGACAATGAATAGCAATAATTTTAAATTAACACTGGCTTTCTAGCAGTAAATAATTGGATGTAGACTTAAAATAATTGTAATTGGGGTCATTTTTGGAAGTGGCCTACTTAAAATTATCATTGAAAGACATATATATACACTTATTTTTATTTTAAGAAGTTTTTGTACTTAAAATATATACATCTTTTAATAGCATAAAATAACATGAAATTAAATTATTTAATTATATACTATATCACATATAATTGAAATTTAATATATATACATTTTCACAAAAAAAATATAATACAAAATTTTAAAATATTTTAGACATAGATTCTATTGATTACTCAAACTTAGTTTTAATTAAGGTATTAGAGTTGGGGATTTTTTTTTTTCGAATTTTTATTATGAATATTTTTTAAATTCCAGTAATTAGTTAGAGGAAGAATGTTCCAATAACTAGTTAGAATATTAAATTAGTTCATAATATGTTCTAACTAATTCGAATATAAATTAGTTAGAGCATATTCTAACTAATTACTGGAATATAAATTAGTTAGAGCATATTCTAACTAATTACTGGAATATAATATTATAAAATAGTTACTGGAATATAAAGATAATATAAAATAGTTAAATAATTAAATATTTCAACCACTAGATAGACACTTCTCTTATATTATGTAAACATCCCCTTGTTCCACAGATCCCTATTTACACATCTTTGCAAAAAATAAGTGAAATTAATTTAAAATCATGATTCTAATTATATTTATTAATTTAATATCAAAATTTGATATATCCTTATCCATTTCCATTCTACGATTCTATATTATCTTAATTTATAATTATTTTGTTATTAAAACCTTGGTCAAATTATTGTTTTGTATATTTTTTATTTTTGTTATTTATCAAAATTAAATATAAAATTAAAGGTTCTTATTCAAAATCAAAACTAGTTATTTTTTGCAAAGATGTGTAAGCATGAATACATGGCATAAGGGGATGTTCATGCAACAAAAGAAGAGTGTCTACCTAAAAATTCTTTTATATAAAAACTTTAAATATCTAACTATAACTTGTAAAATCAAAAATAACAATTCTTAGAAATACAAAAAAATTAAATTAAATTAAATTAAAATTAAAAAATTGTTAACTTAAATCTTTAAATAATTTTTTAAAAAATGAAAAATCTCAATATTTCTACATATCATTCTCTTAACTATACTAGATTATATCTTCACGTTTAAATAATACTAAAGTTAATAATAATTTCTTAATTTTTTAATTCATTTTTAAAATTTTATCTTTAAATACAAATCAATGTTTTAGTAAAGGCTCTTAACACTAAACCAAAAGTTCTATGTGATTTAATCATTCACTATTCAAAAATAAATACATGTTTACTACGCTACTTATCAAACTTTTGGTTTATAACAAATAAATAACATTAAAAAAAATACTATACAAGATGAAATATAAATTTTAAATTTTAAATTTTAAAAAAGTACTAACTCTACTTTCTTTAACCTTATAAGTTGTTAACAAAGTAAGAATAGAAATAGAAATATATATATATATATATATATATATATATATAATCATAAAAATATTTTTTTCTCAAGCATACGAGCATAATAAATAATTAAATATTATTTTTAGATTAGTAAACTTTTATACCACATTTTAAATAAAAAAATGTATGTATATATATATATATATATATATATATATATATATATATATTTAATCTATATTTACTTAGTTAAAATTATAACATGTCATATTTTATATTCTCACAATTTACCATAAAAATATAATTTTATGATAAATTCGTATAACATGTAAAAAATAGACCTCCATGTTAAAGAACGTAAACTAATCTAAAGAGTTTGTGGTACACAGGTACAACAAAGTTGTTTATTTTATTGGTGTGTAAGTCTTGTTGATATTGTTATTGGAATTATTGAAATTTCATTTATTTTAAAACATATAATTTTTATTATTAAACTGTAGTATAATACATCAATAATTCTCCAGTGCAATAAATAAAACAATATTGAAGTTTTAAAAATAAATTGATTCACAGATGAAAAAAAGTTATAAAAAATAAAATCTTTTTGGACAACATGTAGCAATAAAATCTATGGTAACTATCTTTAATGTTTCTAAAATATTATCAATCATTTCTATAAAAAGGCTAAAATTGCCAAAAAATAATATTATTTTTTATTCTTGTTATTGTTATTACATAGATATTAGTGCATCCAAAATCTGTAGAAAAAAGATTGTAATAACATGAGTGTTTTTCAGCACGTTCACAATTATCTGATGGTTTAAAAATCATACCACATGCTCTTCTAATAAATAATTAGGATAAATAAATGAAATAAATAAATAAAAACAACAAGAAATAAGAATATGAAATTAAAAACTTATCTACTATCTGCCAAAAATCATCACAATCAAAATACCAACCACTTTAAAACGTCAGAAATACAACTCTAACATACATAATTCACGTAACTGAATGAAAGAACTACTCTCAAAAGAAGATACAGAAGGACAATTGACAAAATAAGATAATGAGTATCCATCCCATGAAACCCAAATAATCCTGTGATCAACTTTGGCTGAGTATGTTTCAACACGAACTCATCAGGCAGTTGTAGGACGCAAGTTCCCAATTCAACCTCAATCAAAATCACAAGATATAGCTCCAAGTCATTGTGTGGAAAACAAGGATAAAACATATACTCCTCAATCCAGGTAATACTGATTGATACTGGAGTCAAAGTTGTCGAACATGTTCGCACACAATGAGGTGTTAAAAGTCTGTTGAAAATACCAAACAAAGACAGTTCTTAACTTGTATGACAAGAAAGAGGACTTCACGTATTACAAACCTTCAGGTATTGTAAATGCTAAAGGCATGAAGGCGGTTGCCAGAAGAGTCGCTAAATGCTAGTTCACTGCATTTCATGAAACATTTTCCAGTCAATCACCCCATAAGAAAAACAGTTGTGTGAGCTGAAATGAGCACAGAAGTGACACAGAAACACACACACACACTCAATGAAAGAAAAGGAATTTGTCCAAAAGGAGTACCACATTGTGAATTGTTCCTGATCACAGTCCTGCGGAGCCCCAACGACTAAGGGGGTGATGAGCCAGAAGTCACCCTCACCCACCACTTCGTATTGTTTATTTCCGGTGAACCATTGTAATCTACCATTGCAATCTGCACTGGCTTATCGTTTGGTTGATGATAGACTTTGACGCTGCTATGACTTTGAATAACCGCATATTATCCCTCACTCTAATGTTCGACACATTGAAATGACAACAATAGCTTCATACTGAAAGATTCTTAGATCTGTAAGATAAGTTTTCAGCAAAGGATTCGTCTTATGAGTTTTGGTGCTTTAGTATCACAAAGATGCAGGCGTTGATACAAAGGCCGATTCGAGGGGCATTTACAGGGTACAGCAAAGTGAAACATGGCTTTGCGAAAAGGGGCATAGGGTCGACCAACAACATAATCCTGACAAGACGCCGATCTGTTTCCCACATCATTTGTGGTACGGGTTCGAAACTAGGCTGAGGAAGGCACGATCACGATGCAGTTTATCTTGTTAAGATTCCACCTGATGGAGCACTGAATTAAGCATCCTGATAACACTATTACACCTCTCTGTATGCTTTACAACTTACATGGGACTACTTCCTTGTGCAAAATCTGAATTTAATTAACCTGACGCAACCCGCAACTGTTTTCGATATCATCGCGAATGAGAAATATTCCAGGTGTACCAGGGAAGCAACAAATTACTGTGGAGTTACAATGCCACAGAAACGGGAAACATTTCATGTATACTCCGAACCTTAAGGTTTCAGATACTAAAGGAGCTAACATTTTAGCCTTTAATTGCTGGTGTAATTTTTCATGCACAGTAAGTTAAAGAATTGCTTGAGGTGTCTCCTTGCATCCCGGTAGATTTTAATTGCTCTAAACCATGTTCTCTAGTTCTAAATATCTGAGAATTCTGCTTGAATAAGCAACCACCACCACGAGAGACGGTAGGAAGCAGACAATGAAAGACACTCAGGCAAAACCATCCCTGCTCCAACTGAGTGACTGAACCATAAATAACTGAGGAGCACCAAATTCGTGAGTCGAGCCGTTGAATTCCTAAGGATGAACAATGATAAGAACTTCAGAGTTTGATCAAACCCTACAAGAATAGTCACATAGGAGAAGACAAAGCTCCCCGATGCATTTCTTCTTGTAAGACTCTCAACCTCGGTTCCTCCGGCCACGGAATCTCATTACGACTGTCCGTGAAGTTTCTAAGCCAATACCCGAAAATGGCAATCAACCCTGACTGTGCACTCGGCAGCAAGCTGTACGCGGATTTCCAAACCCTACAATACAAGAGCAACCAAGTTCTTCAAAGCTAAACTGAGAGCAGACAACGGCTCGAAACTTATTAAAGCACCTGAACTTCGGGAGAGAAGTGGGAATTGACAGCATGCAATCCTTCACCGTAAGCTCTACATCGTGAATATTCGACACATAAGGTCTAAGAAATTCACCAATTCAACTCGCTACCGCGTTCAAATATAAACCTCTACCTCCAGCCAGCTTGGAAGCTTCAATTACAACTTCGAAGCTCTACAGAAAGCCGGAAATTAAGTCAATAAGGACCACCATGCACCAAATGCATAGTGAAAACGGAGCCTCTCGACGATCTCGGGTCAGCATGTGGACTTACCCTGTTCTGGAATGGGAACCCACGATTTTTTAGGGTTTTGATTGCAGGAGTAAGTCATTCCTGGGTCACAAAATTCTAGAATCTTCCTTTAGATTGTACATGATTGATACCTAATAATGCTCCAAGCCAATCATACACCCATCCAAAAATAGGGTTCATAATTTGGGGGGTCTGGCATCATTGGAAGCTTTGACAATGCTTTTTGAGCCCCTCCACTGCTTGGAAATTGACTTGAGACCACTATCACTTTTATTCTCGTCAAACAAATTCTATTTTTTTTTTTGGTTTGTTTTGTGACTTCTTTTTTGAAAAATTTGGCAATGTAAAAAGAGTTGTGCAATCCTAAAGGATTTAATAACTTTCACTTCTAGTAATAAATCATCCTTGATTTTCTCTGTATAATGTGATATTTTTTTGACATTCCAAGCTTGTTGTAGTATATAGATTTTTGTAATGTCAAATGATTTTAAATTTTAGATTTTGAATACTAATTTCATTTGTACCAATTTCATTTTTTTTTTGTGCATTATCATAGATTTTTATAGTATTTAAATATTTAAGTAAATATAGATAAACAAAAGTTGTTAGAAAAAGATTAGGTAGATAATATCTTCTTTAAATACATTAATCTACTTGTGTAGATGCAAATATAAAAATCACAAAGTTTCTTCAATAAGTATCTTATCTCAAGTGATTACTATGATTAAGGATCAAGGTAGGAACACAATCAAACTCTAATCCTAGAGTTATCCAACTCAAGCATCTTGAATTATGTTTATTAAAAAATAATTCATTAGTCTTGCACTTTCTTATGCCTTATTATTTTTAAAACATTAAGATTTAATATTCCACAATTGAGATGCAATTTAAAAAAATATTAATCCATGTATGGTAAATATGTTGCAAATATGCAAAAACTAAAAAAATTAATCAAGTACAACTAAAAGATTTTTTTGTATTTGCTCTTATTTCATAATTTTAATAATTCACGGCAAGTGAAATAATTTTGCACTTAACAATCAAGTTTTTTCATAAGTTAAAATGGGATATTAAAAAATATTAGTAAAGTTATTGATATTTAAATACCAAATCAAATAATTAATTTTATTCTTAACAACCATCTTTTTCTTTTCTTTTTTAGAACTCACATGTTCATATTTTGATATTTTTACAATTCTATAATAATATTATTATTAATTAAAATATAAAATTTGAAGTAGAAGTTATATAAATTAATAGAATGTACTTTAAATGCATTACAACACAATAAAATATAATAGTACACACAAGAAGAATTGAAATCATTTTGTAAATTTTTAAAAAATATACTACTCAACATAGGTTAAAGAGACTTTCAAGATCCTAAGATCATAATTTTTTTTGTTGAATTCTTAGATTTTAAAACCTCTTATCATTTTTCTTGTTAATAATAGCTTTATTGAGTAGTAAAGCATATAATTATTACAAAAAGCTATATTATTACATGTAAAAGTCATAAATGATTAGTGTTTTTGTTTTAGAGATATCAATTTAGAAACCTTTCTTCTAAAGATACTTATATATGGTCGTTATATTATAATAATACCTATTATTACTAAGTCTCTAAACAATTATACTATTATAGATTTATTATGGTTAAAAAACATAATTGTAAATAAGATTGGAATTTTTTATTTTTTATTTTTTATTTTTAAAAAGAATATATATATATATATATATATATATATATATAATTTATTTCAAAAACAATGTCATTATCAAAAAGACATTTATAATTTAATTACAAGTTATACTAATCACAAGAACCATAAATATTTTATGTCTATATGTATCTTAAATTATTGCTAATCTTATTAGGTCATATCTTTGTAACAATTTGTAATTAAGAAATCATGTTGTTTCAAAACACAACAAGAATTACGACATGTTAAATTTAAATTATACTTTCTTTTATTGTATTTATAATAAATTTATACTGTATATTCTTAAAAAAATTAACACATGATCAATAACATCCAAAACAAAATAGCTAAAAAAATCAATAAATTTTACTAATTCTACAGTCTTTCATCAAATTTATTTAATTATATCAACATGTTTTTCTATATATAAGTTAAGAGTCAGTTTAATGATGATTTGAGTAAATTTGACCTTAACGACTACCTCTTTTATTTTGAATGATATTTTAATGTTCCAAAATCAAGCACTATTATATATACACCTGATATTTAACTCATTATGGACAATTTAATCAATTGTAGACAAAACCAAGGAGATACAACACATCTATATTTTTAAAATGACTTTGCTATCTAAACACAATGGTACTTATCTAATTATTTGGTGTAGATTAATATCCATAAGTAGTTAAATATTATGTATGCTTTAAGCACAACATAACTTCATAATAATATAATAATCTAAATACAAGAATATATGTACTTATATAATAAATTGACTAGTATTATATATATACATATCAATTAAAATATTTCAATGATTTTTAAAGTAATTTTAAAATAGAACTTCTGCAACATCTAATTTTTTCTTCATGTACATAAATAAATAATAATAATAAAAAAGTATCAGAAATGATCCAAATATATCCAAAATACAACAAAAATATGCCAAAAAAATTCAAAAGGTATGGATTCAATGTATAAAAGTTAGCTACAATAATTGAAGATGCATCTACATGGCGAAATCACAGTCCTATCAAGTTTAGTATACATTTTTAAAATTGTAACTTGCACCCTTAGAACAAACAATACTTCCAACAACCACTCTGTCATTTGTTTATTATTATTATTATTATTATTATAATATAATACAACTACAAAAAGGTCTACCGGAAATGATATAAAATACTAGAAAAGATGTGTTGATTCAAACCAATGACCTGTATGGTCTCCAAAATGTTAAAAAGCAATCACAGAAGAATATTCACAATAATAATAATAATAATAATAATCATATTAATATGTAAGTCGAGACTTATTTTCCAACTTATTCCGGGATATCATTCATTGGTGATGGTGGCCTGAGTACGACAGAGACAACAACTACGGCCCACAGTGTGAACGGGGACCTTTGGAAGCGGTACTGAGGCCGCCAATCACGGGTTAGAGTTAAGCGTCAGGGTCATTGCCCCCCCCCCCCCCCCCC